CCAGTAAACGCCCTGAGTTTTGTGGTGATTAGAGCTTGCGTTATTTGATTTATTTTTTTATTAGGAAAACGACCTGTAAGTCTTATGGATGGCTTGGGGATTGGTGCTTGCGATCTTATTCCATTTATTTCATTAATCAAGAAAACAACCTGTAAACGACCTGGATTGTGTGGTAATTTGCGCTTGCGTTCTTATTTTGTTTATTTTACTATCTAAGAAAGTGACCTGTAGGCACCAAGGGTTGTATTATAATTGGAGCTTGCGTTATTTATTTATCTTATTCATTAAGAATGGGAATAGTAAGCGCGCTAGGTTAAGTGGAAATTAGTAACTAACTTACGATATTTTGATCATTTTTATAATCAAGAAAGCGACCAGTAAGCACCCTGGGTTGTATGGTGATTGGCGTTTGCCTTATTTGATTTCTTTTATTGATTATTAAGCAGACGAATAAGCGCCCAAGTTTGTGTAAAAATTAGTGCTTGCGTTATTTTGATTATTTTTATAATTAAGAAAGCGACCAGTAATCACCCGCGTTTGTGGTGCGGTCAAGGCTTTCGTGACTTTATTTATTTACACAATTAGGAAAGCGAGCAGTAAGCATTCTAAGTTGTAAGGTAATTTGCGCTTGCGTTACTTTATTTATTTTATTAATTAGAAAAATGACCAGAAAATACCCTAGGTTGTGTGATAAATAGTGCGGCAATATTATTCTATTTTTTGTATTAATTAGGAAAGCAAGAAGTAGGCATCAAGAATAGTATGGATATTGGCGATTGTGTTATTTTATCTATCTTATTAATTAAGAAAGCTGCTAGTAAGCGCCCCAGATTGTGTGGTGATTGGCGCTGAAGTGATATTATTTATTACATTAAATATAAAAGTGACCTGTAAGTCCCCTGAGTTGCTTAGGGATCTGTGTTTGCGTTTTTATTTCATTTTTTATATTTTATAAAAAAAGCGACTAGTAAGCGGCTCAGACTGTGTGGTGATTGTCTCTTGCATTAATATAATATTTATTATGAATAAGAAAAGCAAGCAGTAGGCGTTCTGAGTTGTGTAGTGGTCGCGCTTGCATTATTATTATTATTTTTTTTTTATCAGTTAAAAAAGTTCCCAGTAAGCACCAAGGGTTGTATGGTAATTGGCGCTTGCGTTATTTTTATTGTTTTATTATGTAGGAAAGCAAGCAGTTACTGCTCCGGGTTGTGTGGTGATTGGCGCATGCGTAAGTATTTTACATATTTCATTACTAAGAAAGCATTAGTAGGCAGTTCGGGTTGTATTGCAATCGGTGCTTTCGTTATTTCATTTATTTTATTAATGAAAAACTGACCAGTAAACGCCCCGGGTTGTGTGGTGATTGATGCTTGCGTTTTTTAATTTATTTAATTAATGGAGAAAACAACTATTAAACTTTTGGATTGTGCAGTGAGCTTTTGGGGCTTCGTTAATTTTTTTTTTTTTATCAACCAGGAAAATGATCTGTGAGCCTTCTGGGTTGCGTGGTTATTGGTGCTTGCATTTTGATTTTGTTTATTCAATTACTTAAGAAAGCGATAAATAAGCGCTTTGAATCGCATGGCCATTTGTGCATGCGTTATTTTTATATTTATTATTAACTAAAAAATTGAGCAGGAAATGCCCCAGGTCGTGCCGTGATTGGCGATTTCGTTTTTATTCTTTTCAATTTTTTTATAAATATAACAATCAGTAAGAGTGGGATTTGGCGATTGCGTTATTTTGTTTGTTTTATTAACTTACAAAGCGACCATTGAGCGCCCTGGTTTGTGTGGTGATTAGCAGTTGGATCTTTATTTCATTTATTTTATGAATTCAGAAAGTGACTACAAAGCGCCCCGGGTCGTTCGGTGCTTGATCCTAGTGGTATTTCATTTGTTTTAATAATTATAAAAGTGACCAGTATATATATACCTTAAAAAATATGGTCATTTTTTTGCCCATAATTTTGGCCATTAATTATGGCCAAAATAAATGGGTATCAATTTTGGTGCATGATATGGCCAATAATTATGGTCAAAAATTTTGGCCAATAAATATGGTCGATAATTTTGGGCAAAAAAGTGGCATAACCATTAATGGAAAGTGAATCATAATTATGTTATAATAATATTTAAATAAATGAATGGGCAGAAATTTTGTTATAAATTAAATAATTTACACACATTTATATTACCTCGTATTATATTTTATTGTTAAAAAATATAAGTAGCTTTGGCTACAGAATACAAAGTTTACGGTGTTACAGGCAAGGTAAGTTATAATTTTAATACAAACGATATAAAAAAAAAAATAATTACATTACTTTCAATGCTATTTAAAAATCTTTAGACACTGTCTTCCATTTTCAAGACAGCCATAAGTTGTATGAGAGAGATAAAAAGAACATATTCATCAACCTCCTTATGACATGTCTCACGAATTTTAAATAGCACTTAAATGTAGTTCGAAGTTGACATAGAAATATTAAAAACTTAGAGGTTACTTTCTCACTCATTGAGATGTTATTCATTTTAAATTGTTTTTGTTTATACTTTAGGTCTAGTCTTCCATGGATTTATACATACATCTATATATTTATATATGTACATATATGTAAATCTATATTATTCTATTAATTGTCTGCGTCAGACTCTTCTCCATTGTCTTCTCCAGATGCAGTACTTTTTCCTTCAGCTCGAAGCTCTGTGAAATACATTAGTTACGAATTACACACTCTTTATCGTTGCAGTTTATTAATAATGAAAAATGTCGAAATACACACCTTTTATTCTCTTACTCTCAGTAGTTTGAGTTGAATTGATTGAATTACTAAGAAAAGTTACCCACATTCTTAAATTCCTCTCTATTTTCTTTCTTTTGGATTTCGGTAACTCACCTTTTTCAAGTTTTTGTAGAAGAGTGTCATTTATAAGTTTCTGTTTTTCCTTTAAATAGTAGTGGTAGCATTTTTAAAATATATAAAATAATCAGTATTTACACGTCTTATGTCAATAAGTAACTGAAAAAATTACTTCTTATAATTCCAACTTTTTTTGAAGTAAAAGCTTTTCGAGGTGTGGCTCTTCCTTCTCTGGGATCAGCTCTTGACACAATCATTGTTCTAAGAACCAAATCACGTTCCAAATACAATTCTAATGCTAATTTTTTTACAAATAGAGAAGCAGTTTGTTTTTTTTTTAATAGAATTTTGTTCCACGTTTTTAAATCCATTATATATTTGTAACACAAATGGATCTTTTTTTTCTATAAATTTATGCACAATTTTTTTAGAATGTAATAATGTTGCATAAAATAAAAACATTCTGACGTATACAATATACTATTTTTCAAAAATACTTACAGATGACTCTTTGCATGTAAATTCTACCAGTAAATGTCCCAGTGCAGGTGGGGATTTGTGCTTGAGTTTATATTTCATTAATAAAGAAAACAACCAGTAAACGACCTGGATTGTGTGGTAATTTGCGCTTGCGTTCTTATTTTGTTTATTTTACTATCTAAGAAAGTGACCTGTAGGCACCAAGGGTTGTATTATAATTGGAGCTTGCGTTATTTATTTATCTTATTCATTAAGAATGGGAATAGTAAGCGCGCTAGGTTAAGTGGAAATTAGTAACTAACTTACGATATTTTGATCATTTTTATAATCAAGAAAGCGACCAGTAAGCACCCTGGGTTGTATGGTGATTGGCGTTTGCCTTATTTGATTTCTTTTATTGATTATTAAGCAGACGAATAAGCGCCCAAGTTTGTGTAAAAATTAGTGCTTGCGTTATTTTGATTATTTTTATAATTAAGAAAGCGACCAGTAATCACCCGCGTTTGTGGTGCGGTCAAGGCTTTCGTGACTTTATTTATTTACACAATTAGGAAAGCGAGCAGTAAGCATTCTAAGTTGTAAGGTAATTTGCGCTTGCGTTACTTTATTTATTTTATTAATTAGAAAAATGACCAGAAAATACCCTAGGTTGTGTGATAAATAGTGCGGCAATATTATTCTATTTTTTGTATTAATTAGGAAAGCAAGAAGTAGGCATCAAGAATAGTATGGATATTGGCGATTGTGTTATTTTATCTATCTTATTAATTAAGAAAGCTGCTAGTAAGCGCCCCAGATTGTGTGGTGATTGGCGCTGAAGTGATATTATTTATTACATTAAATATAAAAGTGACCTGTAAGTCCCCTGAGTTGCTTAGGGATCTGTGTTTGCGTTTTTATTTCATTTTTTATATTTTATAAAAAAAGCGACTAGTAAGCGGCTCAGACTGTGTGGTGATTGTCTCTTGCATTAATATAATATTTATTATGAATAAGAAAAGCAAGCAGTAGGCGTTCTGAGTTGTGTAGTGGTCGCGCTTGCATTATTATTATTATTTTTTTTTTATCAGTTAAAAAAGTTCCCAGTAAGCACCAAGGGTTGTATGGTAATTGGCGCTTGCGTTATTTTTATTGTTTTATTATGTAGGAAAGCAAGCAGTTACTGCTCCGGGTTGTGTGGTGATTGGCGCATGCGTAAGTATTTTACATATTTCATTACTAAGAAAGCATTAGTAGGCAGTTCGGGTTGTATTGCAATCGGTGCTTTCGTTATTTCATTTATTTTATTAATGAAAAACTGACCAGTAAACGCCCCGGGTTGTGTGGTGATTGATGCTTGCGTTTTTTAATTTATTTAATTAATGGAGAAAACAACTATTAAACTTTTGGATTGTGCAGTGAGCTTTTGGGGCTTCGTTAATTTTTTTTTTTTTATCAACCAGGAAAATGATCTGTGAGCCTTCTGGGTTGCGTGGTTATTGGTGCTTGCATTTTGATTTTGTTTATTCAATTACTTAAGAAAGCGATAAATAAGCGCTTTGAATCGCATGGCCATTTGTGCATGCGTTATTTTTATATTTATTATTAACTAAAANTAAATTAAAAATTTGAGTGGACAGTACCGGTATATTTTTAACAGATTTTTTTGAATCATTCTTCAAACGTTTTTTATTCCCAATATCACTTTCGTCATCTGTGTAAGCTTTTTGTGGTCAAAACTGTCGTCTAGCTAAAAAAATCAATAATACGTGTAACCAAAATAAGGCTATATGAGCAAAAAAAGTAAATAATGAGTACCTTCCGCTTCCTTGAAGTTTCATCTTCTGAATCCGAAGCATCGGCGAAGTTTGGTCGCACCTGGCGCGACTGTAAATAATTTGTATATAATTAGGGAAAAACGCAATAAAATTTTAGCTTACTATTTGCTCTTATGTACCCGACATGTTTTTGATTTTATCGGTGTTTCATCTGATTCCTTTTGTTTCTCAGCCTCTTCGTTTTCAGAATCAGATTCGTCTGCCAACTTTGCTAATGCATCACTGTACCTGTAATATTTGCTAGATGGGCAAGGGTATCGCCTTTCAGGACTTTCAACATCCTTGCGTACAACTGCAGTGGATATATGTTAATAATCATATGAAACTAAAACTAATAATTAAATATAAATCATATGTTCACGTAAATGTTTTAAAATAATTGCTGGCACACAAGTTTTTGTCGATGTTTTTTCATCAACAACGATCAGGTGATAGGGATTGTTGTAGGGTTTTGTGGTTACGTCGGAATGGTTTTCAGGGTGGAATTTCTTGATCTCATTTCTGGTGACAATCATTGGTTTGCTACATCGGTTTTCTTTTTCGATTATTCTTACTGCAACGTAGTATTTTTTTTGTGGTTCTTCGATGTCCTCAGCAATTTTTCCAATTCCACCATCATTTTCATGGTCACTGATGTCGTTCTGTTCATCGACGTTATGATCATCAACATCCCTTTTCTCATCCGATGATGTATCTACATCCTTGGATGTATCTGCATCTGCAGCCATTGTTTTCAACTATAGTTGCTGGAGAGTAGATGGGAAACAAAAATCTTGATTGAAAACTTTTGTGGTTTTACACAATTTCTATACATACATATACATATATATGTCACTTACCCACGAACTTGGCTCGTGGTTGTCCTGATTAATTAACACTGAGACGCAGATGACTACTAACTATACGATTTAAAAAAGAATTTAAGCAAGTTGTACGAGCATGCGCTTTACCAAGAATAATAATTAAGTACAGTGCAATAAACCATTTTATCTGAAACCCTGGGTAGTGTAGTGATTGGTGGTTGCGTTATCGATTTGTTCATTTTTTTTATTAGGAAAACGTTTAATAGGCACCAAGAGTTGTATGGCTATTGGCGCTTGCATTGAAATTATAATTTTTAGTAATTAAGAAAGTGAGCAATAAGCATCCCGAGTTATGTTCTAAATGATGCTTGCGTTATTTTATTTTTTCTATTACACAAAGAAAACAACCTGTAAGTACCCCAGGTTACGTGGTAAGCAATTCGCACCTTTTGGAATATCAGGTATTCGGAGCTTCTGTTATTTTCTTTATTTTATGATTAAAAAAATTACCAGTGAGCGACCTAGGTGATGTGGTGATCGGCACTTGCATTATTTCATTGATTAAGAAAGCGGCCTGTAAGAAATCCAGGTTGTGTGAAGATTGGCGCTTGCGTAATTTTAATTATTTTAATAATGAAGGAAAGGACTACGAAGCGCCCCGGTTTGTATGGTGGTTGGTGCTTGTGTTTATATATATTTTATATATTTTGTTTATTTTTATCCAAGTACAGATCAATTTACAATCTTTTTACTCCCTCGACATATTTTTTGCTTTTCATAACTAAATAACATTTCATTACATTGCTTCTTCCGCATTATTATAACATCATATATTACCATTTCCATGACATAATTTGGCTTCCTATCTCTATTTATCTTATTCTAGCCCTATCACCAAACGTCGTCACCAAGTAATCTATTATTCCACTATATTTTTAGAACTAGCCTACTCACTATTTGGTTTTTTGTAAGTCTTGTAATTTTTTACCCCTTAGCCCTTGTTCCATGCTTGATCTTAGCAGCTTTTCAAACTCCCTACTAAAAAGACACATCTCTGTCCTTGTCTTCCCCCTCAGTAAGTCTTTAGTTCTCAGAATTAAGTAATTTTCCTCTCCTATTAGTCCTAGCCCATCCACTCCCACCACTAACTCCTTTTTTATTTTTACCCTGGCTACTTCGCAGTTCCACGCATGCTCTAGCTCCTCCTCTTTGACCTTGCATAGTCTACACACACTTTCCTCACACCCCTTATACCCGCTTTTGCCTACGTTTCCACATCTCATTCGTGCCCACTGCTCTTTTAACTTAGCATTAGTTTTTTCCTCCCAATATTTGCCCAGTTACATATCATGTTTGATAAATTTGTAGTTTACATTATATGTAGACCTGTTAACTTTTTCCCAATCCCGTTGAATCTCCTGCTCAATCATTATTAATGTACCCTTTGCCGTTTGTGCCTGTATTTTCTCAATCTTTTTAATCAATGTTCCATCTCCAACTTGTTACCAAGCCTTAAGCAAATTTTTGGCCCACTTCGAAATGTTGCCATTTAGCATTCCTCTCAGCTCCTCTTTTAGAAATATTGCCGCCCATATATCTTTCTTCTTTTTCAGAATTTCCATTTAATAGTTCCCTGCTCTTTTTTCCCTTTATGCTCCAGCTTCTCCTTCCTGCCTCTAGCCCCCATATGTAATTTGGCGTGTTTATGTTTACCCCCATTGCTGTTTTGACATACCTACTTTGTATTCTTTCAACTTTCTCCCTTCTTTTCTATCTCCAGATTTCAGCCCCTTACAGGCATGCCAACATCACTATTGAATCAAAAAATGAAAAAAAAAAAAAAAAACAACAAACCTGGGGGGGATAAATGGGTCATGGGACCCACGGTAAGAACGAAGTTCTTTAAACATGAGATGAGTATAGACACAATTTCTTAGGTAACAAGGGGGTCGCCAGACCCGTAGGAAGAACGAAGCTCTATAAACGTAAGTACTGCATTATTGTAGTTCACTAAACAAAAACTTGAAAAACGAATAAAAAAATAAAATTAAAAAAATAGTTCAGCACTCACGATGGTTGAACTTCGTGAGTACTGTATTTATGCACGACGTTCTCACGAAGTTCAACCATCGTGAGTACTAAA